AGAAAATTAACTTAGATTTGCTACTGGTAGGAAATTAGGAACTGGGGAACAAAGCAATTCATTATCTCTTTGATTGTAGAATTATCTGTATCTAGCGGTCTTGTGTAGAAATTCTAATTGAGTAGAGTTGGGGTAAGACCTAGTGCTATAGTCTGTGTTCCCTCTCCCCTAAATTCATATGTTGAAATCCTAACCCCCAAGGTAAGGTATTAGGAGGTAGCAGGCCCTGACCCTGTGGCCACGTGAAGACACATTGAGAAGTTGCTGTGTATAGGCCAGAAATGGGGCCTTCGCCAGACACCAAATCTCTGCTCCCTGATCTTGGACTTCCCAGCCTCCAGAACTGTGAGAAACACATTTCTATTGTCTGTCAGCTACCCAGTTTATGGCATTTTGTTATAGAGTCCTGAAGAGACTAAGGCATCTTGTCGTCTGTATGTCCCCCAGAAGAAAATAATTGCTATAGAGAGAACTCACATCAGTGCATATAGCGTCTCAAATGGCTAAGAGATGTACCTGACAGAACTTTTCAGAAATAAGAATATTGAAAGAAGGTCAGTTTGAAGCCTTACTGCAAAGTATGTGAAAATTCTTTGCTTAGTGGTGATTTTTTTCCCCCGAGGACTGAACCCATTAATAATCGGAAACTACACAGTATTTGCTTTAGAATTTATCATCCAGCACTATGCAAATAGCTTTAGTTGAACACTCCTTTTCTTAAAAGCACCCTGGAAATCTCATTAACAGGGACTAATCCTGGATTCAGTCTGCTGCTCTTACTTTAATAAGCTTGTGGGGAAATCATGCTATTTGGAAGTAACTCAACACACCTCATATTTGGTTTTGCTGGGGATGAAAGACCCTATACAGTGAAGTATGAATTACCATGGAGAATGGAGGAGCAGAGGCCTAAGTCCCAGAAGGCCTGAATTCTACCTAGTCCTGGCTTTGCTGGTAACTTGCTATATGACGTTGGCCTTGCAAGCCCCTTGACTCTGAATGCTATTTTTTCATAAGGACAATCGTATTATCTACTACAGAGGTAGTTATGTGGATGAAATGAGATAATAAATATAAAATTGCATTGAAAAACAAAAGCAATAGCGTACATAAAATGTCCGTATCTCTATACATATACCTTACTATAATATTAAGAATTAAGGCTGGGTGTGGCGGCTCACGCCTGTAATCCTAGCACTCTGGGAGGCCGAGGCAGGTGGATCGTTTGAGCTCAGGAGTTCGAGACCAGCCTGAGCAAGAGTGAGACCCCCGTCTCTACTAAAAATAGACAGAAATTAGCTGGACAACTAAAAAAATATACATATAAAAAAATTAGCTGGGCATGGTGGCACATGCCTGTGGTCCCAGCTACTTGGGAGGCTGAGGCAGGAGGATCGCTTGAGCCCAGGAGTTTGAGGTTGCTGTGAGCTAGGCTGACGCCACGGCACTCTAGCCCGGGCAACAGAGTGAGACTCTTGTCTCAAAAAAAAAAAAAAAAAAGAATTAATAACGTGGCTAATTGTCGATGTTGGGTATCTACTGTTTTTATCTTGGAAAAGTATAAAATCCCTCAGTTGACTTCAAACAGATCTTTTAAATTATGGAAAAAAACCTATTTAAATTAGAATTGTCTTAATTTGGCAAATAGATTTAGGTGGATATAGGAACTCTCAATTAAAAAGCTTCTATTAAGCAACTTATGATGAACTATGTGAACGCAATAGGCAGTCGCCAGCAAGCTGGCTTTATCTGGTCCTGCTTGATGCGAAAGGGTAAGTCTAACTGATTTCTTGTAGACTATAGGCATTAATAAGCAAAAGACATTTTAACTTTCCCAGAGGAATTGTAAACAGCCAGATGGATTATAAACAGGGCAACAGTATAATTCACTATCCAAAGGAGGACATTTTTAAGAGTAGAAGGGGGCACTGTTCATGACCACTCAGGACAGCAGGAAGCTTGCAGTAGCGCAGGTGAACCAGCGCCTGTGCCGCTCAGCTCTGAACACCCCCTCAAGGTGAGTAACATCAGAGTAAAATCGTCAACAAGATTCTGAAATGCAACCGGCCTTCTGTACAAGGCAGGCGGGTCCTCTGCTGGAGCGAGAAGTGGAGAACCGAGGACGGCAGCAGCCCCAGAAAGCTATCGCGCAGGGAGCCGAAGGGGGCCACTGCGGGCAGGAGGCTCGGAAGAGATGCTTCCGGGTCTCTCTGAAGTGGAGAATCAAACATGTGCCTGAGCTGCTGCCTGCTGAGAGGCTGCAGGACCAGACACACCAGTCTGGTGTGTCAGTGTGTCAAGCGTGGAGATGAGTGACTGCGAATAGAAGCTTCAGGCCAGTGTCGAGTCTCCCAGATAGAGTCACAAACAGCTCCCAGTTGTGCAAGCAGAGGCTGCAGACATAAATCAAAGAGCAATCTTCCAACGTCAGCCGTGTGTGGAAGGACTGGCCACTTGTCACGCCTCGGTGTCCTCAGCCGGTTTCACACATGGAGAGTAATCACAGTTAGTGGTGTCATCCGAGAGTGATGGTGGCAAGGGTAGAACTTGCTGGTGAGGCGAACGGAGAGGAACATGTGCACCCCATATCTAGAGATACGATTCACCTCTCGCCATTTATATGCACTCCCAGAATCGTCGGAAATCACTTAAAAATATTTTCCCTATGAGGCATTCCTTCTCACGATTTATGCAAAATGCCCTATTTCCAGCATAGCTCTAGCACCTGCGTATGGAAGTGTATCGTAGCCTTGTTATAACACATTCCTGCCAGGGGAAGACGCCTAAAGAGATTTTACTGGGTCTTTAGGGATAAATCAATGCTTACAATGTCATATTATTAGAATAGTTCTAAATTCTGAAAAAATGTAACCTAATCCTTCGCCGCCCCCAGGGGAGGGTCAGGGGAACCGCCTACCCCTGGGAACAATTTCTAACAAGGCCAGAAGTCAAAGGCAGAGCTGGCGGAGCCTCATCCTCACCTGTGTGAAGTCTGGGCCAGGAATGTCACCCAGGAGGGCAGGTGTGGCCCTCCCTGACCCCTAAACAGCTGGCTTTATAATCAAAGTGTCATTTGGCTCTTTTGATGGGTCTGCCATAAACTTTGTAGTGACAATCTTTCCAAGAAAATGTTCCTTTTTGCTGTTTCCTTATGGAGATAGTTATAAAGAGATTGAAATAGAAGTTTTTCATGCGAGAGCAAAATAGATATTTACTTATTATTTGGCTGTTATCTTCTTTTAAAACATATACTTGCCCCTAAAGGAAGCCGTGTGAAGCGTTGGCGTCAGTTTTGAGTTTTGCAGGAAGCATGAGAAGAAGGGGCCCACATCCACTTTCAGGGGCTGTAAATCCATTTTCATTATGTGTTATTCACTGACAGCATAAAGTTCTGTGTTGTCAGTTCATAAAATAATCCTGGAACTTGCATTATCACTGAAGCTTCTGATATAGTGAATATATTTTAAAACAGTCGTGTGATAATATTTTTAAATGGCAGTAGACATAGAAGCCAGTTATTGCCATGGTATTAATCCAGCCTTGGAAAAAGTATAAATTTCGCATTTAGATCCTAATTGTTTTAAAGCACAGTTTTTTCTCTGCGCTATATTCTTTTTCTACATAAAAAGAATTTTAAAAATTAGCTTTACTCTAACTTCTGGCAAAACCATTTTTTATCATGGAGAAGTAGCAATTTCCGAGGCTAGATTAACTTTATGATTTTTCCTCCCATTCCAATAAAATTGTAGGTCAGTACTCTACTGTCCAATGCTCAAATCCTATTTCCAGGAAAGAGGATCTTTCTGAAGACTGTTCAGTCTCCTTTGGCAGATAAAAATACAAACACATTAATACATAGTTTTATCCGGTTCAGAATGGTGGTAGTGGGATTTCAAGTAAGCAGAGGCTCAACCTTCAGAGCTGCAGGAAATGCCTCCGTACAGGCTCTTGTTGGCAGCGATCCGCCCTTTGGCTTAGTAGGAAATTCTCTAGGCTTCATTTTATCCTATTAATTCTCGTTTGCACACATTTAATGATTGCTTGACAGTTTGAAGTTTTAATTTTGGCTTTAATATCTCAATCTTCCCTTAAATTTTTTTTAAATTTTAATTTCTTATATTACACTCTTCTACTCAGAGATCAGGAGGCCAATCTAGGTTGATCCCTGAGTGTCACACTAAAATGATGCAATATATTCAGGCTTTCTCCAAGGATAATGCCAACCTGCTATGGCCAGCGTCCCAAGATTATAGCATCCTAACAGATCATTGCAAATCTGGGCTTTCTAGGGTACAGAACCCAGGGTTGTCTTAGGTGGCATTGTAAATGGCAGTCAACTGTTTAATGACATAATGTGAATTTTTATAGGCTCATCTAGTTCTACAACCAGATTGCTCTCTGAACATTTGAGATAAATCTTCATCCACTCTCTGGAGTTGTTTAACACACAGGTTAATTTCTCACTATTGATTTTCTCCACTATGCATCTCAAATGCTTCACGATCTCTTGACCTACGTGAAATATTTGTGACAGTCAGGTTTTTTTTTTTTTTAAAAAAAAGCTCTTCAAAACCATGCTTGAAAGATCAGTAAAGATAATGAAATAACTCTTCCCCAGCTATTAACAGTGCAGTTTAACTGGACGTTTTGCTTAGGTTTCGAGGAGAGAACAAAATTATGAACACTTACAAGAAGAGGTTTCATATACTGTATTACAGGTTCTGAACATAAATTCTACTCTTGTGGGCAGTCGCAAGGAGGCATAGTATTTTCATCTAGTGACGGAAAATTTCAAGTTAAATCAGAGGAATATCCAGAACCCGCCTGAGTACAGAGTGAGGCAGCACAGCACAGGAGAAAAAAAGCACAACCGGGTGTCGGAAGAACATCGGCCCTGCCAGGAACTGGGCCTCTCTGGGCTATTGTTATTTATCTGAAAAAACAGAGACTGGATCTTATGAGTCCTCCCAGGTCTAAAATTCAATGCTCTATATCCAAGATGTTATATAAATTTTTATTAACAGGAAAACCAAGTTAAAAGAAAACAACAAAAGCAAAGTAAAAACATATTTGTACCTGAAGAAACTCGAGAAATATATAATTAACATGATCCTTCCTTCTAGAGACCCACTGATATCTATATATTCTTCCTCCAGCCCTTCATTCTCGAAAAGTAAAGAATTGTCCTAAGGATTAAATGTTCCATTTAGTTTCTGAATCATTCCTTTCTTCACCCTTGAAATATTGTCCCAGTAACAGAAAATGGTGTCAAAAGCTCTTTATTAATGGTAATTTAATTCCTTTTGTGAGCTTCCAAATAAAATAGCATCATTAATATCAATAATACAAAAGAACAAAAACAAAAACAAAAAACAAAACCCAAACAGATAAATAAATAAAACCACTTCTAAGTTCCTAGCACTGGCTAAACAGAGTTGAAGTGAACCAAGCCATTTTCACACGTCACTTGGAGTGTCGATTTATTTGGGTTTAAGAATCTCCTAAACAAATTACATCAACCTCACTCCATTTCCTTCTTTAATAAAAAGTATGATTGGACAAACATCAGACTTTTAAAATTCTAAAAATAATAGAAAAGTAAAAATTGATTTCCTAGGGAAATCTCTCTCCTAAATCTTATATGGTTTTGCTGCTTCTGTGAAATCTTTCTTTGGAGTAACTTGGTAGCATAGTTTTTTTTTGTTTGTTTCTAACTGGATTCATAGAAGGGCACTGCATTAGAAATTCAGTTGATTTATGGAGCATAAAGGTTCATGAATGGTAAGTAACCTTTGCTCTAAAAGGAAAATGGCAAATGTCAATGAAGCAATGGGAACACTGGAAGTCCATTTCATTATGTAATTTAAGTCTTAACATTAGATATTGCACCTTCATTTAAAAATAAAACAAAAGCAAACAGAAAGGTATGAGCACTCTAAAATCATCTGCAGCACTTTTAAGGGTTAAACCTGCTTAACCCATCCTTAGAGAATGGCACCAAAGAGTACAACTCACCCCTTAAGCGTGGCTAGTTCTACACCTGTGGTGTCCTCAGGTTGTCAGAGCAGTCATGCACTCTGTCTCCACCCCCCTCCCCACCCAATTAGTAGGATCCATTCATAGCTACTCACTACTGCAGGATTTGACCTGAGAAATGCTAGGATTTATTAACTCAGCAGTTGTTTTGAAAAGTCCCTAAATACTCTTTGCCCTTGGCCAGCAAGGGAACTGCTAGTCTCGAGTTCTCAGAAGCAGCTGGTGAGGTTCTCAGCCAAGTTCTTCAGATGCAGGAAGTTCTTCAAGACAACCTACTTTGACGTGGCGTTTACATTTCTTTAAACCAGACTTCGTGGATCTAGGAAATGTTATTCCTGACTCCTTCGACCCAGATACTGGCTAAAATTTAGAATCTGTAGGTAATCACTCTTTTTTTCTTCCTTCTTTCTTTCTAGGAGCTGGCATGGTGATTAAATTTTTCTAAAACAGTCATATTAATGTGTTCAAAAACCCACTGCTGAGTCTCAGATAGAGGGTCACATCTGGCCATGAAAATCTTCTTCTCTGCAGGGTTGCAATCCATGCAGCTGTTGCTCACAGGATGAAATAATGTTCTGTCCTGGAGGAATCAGAAAGGAAAGAAAAGACTGATGTAATACATGGTGAATGATGAGAACCCAAAATATGCAGAAGTGAAATATTTCTGTCTACATTTCAGTATATATCCTTTGTATAAGTAGACCCGCTCCCAAGTCACACAGTAGCAGGTAGAGTTGCCAACGTGAAACAGGATTTTCTAGGATCCACTGGCATGACGTGTGGCCTCCCAGCGGGTTCAACCAGAGACAAAAATTCATTCTTTCATTCAATCACTCATTCATTTTTTAGAAAAGCAATCCGTTCATTTCCTGCTCTGTGATGAGCCTTTTGCACTATGCAGGGATTTTGAAGACAATAGGTGTATGGAGTTGCTTGTCAAGTGGCTAATGATCTACCTAATCGGGGAGAAACATGTACACAAAAAACTGTGAGTCCATAGTAAACAATACCCACACATACACACATGACTAGAGAGTCATAATTTCCTCACATTGAGCTTTGAATGGGAAAGTGAAATACAGAAGAAATAGGAAGCAAAAGTACTGGGTGCTCAGCTGCGCTCTTCAGAGGAAGACTATGGGGAGGGGACAAGTGACACATAGGCAATAGCCGAAGGTACAAACTCAAATTTGCTAGTTGTGCAGCGTCAGTCTCTTTATTGCTATCACAGGTGTTCCAGCAGTGCAGTTCTCCTGCTTTCTGCAAAACGGAGGCGGCAACATTCATTTAGAAAAACGGCCCCTAGCTACATGATTAGACACAGCTCAGTGAGCGAAAGAACCACCGGTGCACAAAGTTTAAGCAGCGAGCAAGTTCATTACCTGGACAGGCCCCATCAACACACACCCCTTTTTATTGTGCGAGTGGGGAAAAGGGAGGTAATGGTCTAGAAAAAGATCTTCCCTGAACCGGTAACACGTTTTCTCTCTTGTGTTATGTATGCTTTAAAAAAGTGTCAGTAATATGAGAAGATATCCCCAAATCACTGCTTAAATTTTAGGATCAAGTAATGTTTTATTATTTAGCTTAGGAAATGTTTCGAGGTTCTGGTTATCTCTCTAACTGAGAAACACCATACTCGCAATGCTTTTAGAATTAAGAGTTTCTCAGGCATGCTTTGTAAACATCTCTGGGTTGCTCCCGGATTGTAAGACTCCATCAACCAATATTTGATGTCCTTTTAGGACCCGGATGTTTGCATAGATAAGCACTGCAAGAAGGAAGAAAAAATAAGGAAGGAGGAAGGCAACCTGCAGGCAGTTTAGTTTGCCTGTTTCTCTTTCAGTGTAAACAATGAGCTATGCTAAGACAAAGGCTCACTATTCTCTTCTGCTCTCTTTAAAGGCGAAGTGTCCTGAGCTCGCTGCGGATTTTACTTTCCTTACACACAGAGGGCTCCCGAGGTCTGCTGACCGCTGTCTGCCCCCAGCTGCTGCATGAACTCCACCCGTGTCTGACCCCAGGGGAGGCTCTGAGAAACTCTGTCCTACTCTGGGTGGAGGAAGCAGGTTCCCGGAGGAAGGAGGCTATGCCCGCAGCTCACTCGGCGTATGCCCTTCTTCCTTGGGGTCCTGCATCCTCCCGGTCACGGGTCCCTTGTCACGCACGGCCGCGGGGCTCCCAAGGCAGCAGGCTCCTTGGCGTCTTCCCCCTTCCTTCCCAGCATCTCCCACACTCAGCCGCCACCCCCAACCACCAGCTATGCTACACAGACCCAATATATTTACATCAGTTTTTCGAAGAGCGTTCTTCTCCTTTTTTTTTCAATTTGTATAAATTTAAGGGGTGCAGTGCAGTGTTGTTACACGGACACATTGTGTAGTAGTGAAGTCTGGGTTTTGGGGTAACCCGATGGTTACCCAAACAGTTGTCCCATTAAGTAATTTCTCATCCCTCACCCCCATCCCACCCTCCCACTCTTCTGAGTCTCCAGAGACTATTGTTCCACACTCTGTGTCGCTGTGTACACAGTGTTTAGGTCCTACTTGTAAGTGAGAATATGTGGGGTTCGATGTGTCTGAGATGTTTCACTTAGGACAGCGGCCTCAGGTTCATCCATGGTGCTGCAGAAGACACGGTTTTATTCTTTTTTAGGGCTGAGTAGTATTCCACTGTATACATCTCTCTATGTCTATATTGATGTATATATATCACATTTTCTCTATCCACTTAGCATTGGTGGACACTCAGGTTGTTTCCATGTCTTTACTATTGTGAATAGTAAACACATGCAACAAACATGAGTGCAGGTATCTTTTTTATATAACAATTTCTTTTCCCTTGAGTAGATAACCAGTAGTGGGATTGCTGGATGCAGTGGTAGTTCAAAGAGCGTTCTTATATTCATGAGAGCTGTTGTGTTCATAAAAATCCTTGGTGACCTGCTAAATTTTCCCATCCAAGTACTAACCAGGCCCGACACTGCTTAGCTTCCAAGATCAGGCATGTTCAGGTGCTATGGGCCCAGACATGACCTGCTAGATTCTGATTTGCTGTGCTTCATGTACATGCACCCTTCTCCCTCATCACTATCTGTATTTTTTCCGTTTTTACTTCTATCAAGAGCTCAGGTGGGACCTCCAGATGCTCACAGTTTCTCCCTCAAAACATATATTTCCATAAAAGCTAAAAAACCTAAAAAAAGCTAAAAAGGAATAGAACAAGTTTCTACTCTCTTTCTTCCCCAGCTTATAGGCCTCAGCTTGCATGCGAAAGCCAAACCAGATTTTATGAACATTTTTAATTTTCTGGACATTACTTTCTGAGCCATAGGTGATCATATTTTTCCAAATCCCACCTTGGAACACATGCTCTGGCAAACACAGGTGTACTCACGGGGGCAACCAGGCAAGGTATGAAAAGTCAGCACCACCCTGAACAGGCCAGAATACGTTTTCTGTACTTGGACTTCACGTTCTCACAAAAGCTAAACAAATTGAATTGCCTACAACCTATCTATGCCTGAGAAGCTGCATCAGTAAAATGAGGGGGTGGATTAGATCCATCTCTGAAGCCTCTCCCAGTCATAAAATCGAATGAACATTTTATTCCGAGGTTCACTGGTGACAGAGGCAAATGACAGGCTGTCAAACTGGAGACCATCCACGGTATTCAGCGAT